TTAGAAATACTTCTTGATTGTTTTTAATCTCCAAACTTTAATCATCCAATTATTTCTAAATACAATTTGTGAATGTTGAATTAATACCTTAATCTCAGCATTGGAATTCTTAATTTGCATGAATTCAATCTGATTCTTTAAGTTGGTTTCATTAAGTTAGCTCTGAAGTTAACTTAATTTGTCCTCAGATTATTTAGCAGATTGAATTTAAATATTCAGCTAATTCTAGAGAACTGCTTAGCTTTACATTAAATCATTCTTTGTTCTAACTGCTGAAGTTCTTACTGTATTCTTTATTTCTTTAATAAATCCTTGCCATTCTCCTATTCAATGAATATAATTAATATGTGTTGCTTACCATTTTCTTAGCTTTCTTAGTTGACTTATCTACGAATTACAAGATACTTAGGAAAATATTTATCATTTACGAGGTCAGTCGATCTAAAGAATTGTTCTCTTTCCCTGATCATCTATGTTTTAACTTTGTAAGATTCTGCTACAATTTTCTGCATAACTTTTTCATATGACTCTGATATCACAGCAATTATGAAGTTCATAAATATAATGTTTAGAGAAATCACTGCAATAATCCAAACTATCCAAGTGATAATGACTAAGTATTAGGATTGATCTTTGTAATTGTCTGTTGAAAAATCTCCAGCTGATATCCTAAATATCATGAGATAGTAACCAAATGCATTAACACCCTCATACTCATCTATTGGAGCGGCTTTAAATAGAACTGTGAATATTAGTCCAAATTACACTATAAATATCAAGAAAAAAGCAATAAAGAATTTGAGATCTTGAAAGACCTTTGTTATCATCTGAACAAGAAAGCTGAAGCCTTCATAAATTCTAAGGAAGTAATATAGCTTTAGAAATGACAAGGCTATCACTATCACAAATAAAAGTACTAAGCTATCCATGTTCATTGATTAAAACTCAATAATGTTGAGTGTGATATAAGCAATTATCTAAGTTATGTCTATTATGTTCCATATTACCAAGAAATATTGCTTCTTTTGGATTAAGATCTGTCTTAGCTCATAAGTCAAAAAGAAAAACAAAGTTGAAGCACTTACGACCTTATTTATAATTATTAAGTAAGACTTTCTATCATCAATTGCATCAGATCCATCTTCGGGATCGATCTAAGTTTTACCTTTGAAGGTAGAGTGATAAATTTCGATGATAAAGGATATCATGAATAACAAATATACCATAAATTAGAATTGGTAAAATGATTTAGTATATCTCTGCCATTTAAATTTGATAATAGTCTGCAACACTTCACTTTCAAAATAATCAGAGCTATCACTATTACTAAGAGTTTTTATAAGTTCAAGTTAATTTGAAGCAAGTGAATCAGGTAGATTAATCATAAAATATTCAATAGCAACCATTATTTAACTCACATCTTTACCCTCTGATAATTTTTAACCAAATAGCATATCATAGTTACTATGAACATCAACTGGGTTATCTAGGTTAATTCCCTCAATAATTTCTAAATCACTTTCATGAATCTAGGGATATTAATCATCGAATATTTGATATAGAGGCAAGTGACTTTAAAAGTAATCTTATAGATCTATTTTTAAATCTATCAATTAGCTTAGATTTTTATCAACCAACTCATTAAAGATGAGTTGATTTTAATATTTCAGAATGACTGTCAAGATTAGATTGACTATTTTTATCTAGCTGCTTTTCAAATTGACATATAAGGGACTGAAATCATCATCTAATAGTTTTTTAGATATCAAGATAGGCATCTCATTCTTATCCATTATGTTTAATGTCTTAGCAATTGCTTCAAGGATAGCAATATTATCCTAGAATAAATTGATGCAGTTTCCATAGCCTGGTATCTACTTCAAGTAGCCAAAAAGGGCCTATTTCTGAGAAAGAATGCTAATAATTTAGTCCTATTTCATTTACTGCAGAGCACGGTATTAATAAATATCTTGAACAGTGAAATCAATCAAATACTTGCCAACAGGATGATCTTTATCCTTAAAAAAGAATTTGACTGTTTTCTCATCAATAGTTATAGTATTTGAATCTCTGAAGTAATTAGATAAAATAAGTGGTTAATAATATAATTATCAGTCAGTAATGTTACCGTTAAACCTTTCAAATTTTAGGTCAATTTCCTGAAAATGATTATTCTAAATACGAATTAAAACTAAGAAATTACAAGTCAGGCTCTTGATTCTATAGATTAAATAGAGGATTAAGATTTGCTTGATGAAAATTTAAGATTTGAAAATAAAAAATGTGGCCCTAGTGACTATACTAATTTATCAGCAAGTCCTGTTCTTGATGTTAATAAGCTAAATAACAAGTTTGATTTGCTATGGTTAGGTTAAGCATTAAAAAAATTCGACAGGACTATTCTCATATTAGTAATAGTTAATTATATGAATCTTGGATTCTTAACCTTGTTGATTTTATCAACAAAAGCTTATTTCAAAGAATATTTAGGAGTTTCTCCATCTTAACTTTAAACAGCTATCTCTATTATATATTTACCTTGGGGATTTAAAGTAGTTTACGGAATATTATCTGATGCTTTTCCAATATTCGGATATCGAAGAAAATCATATTTAATAATTAATGGCCTCATCAACTTCATCTCGGTGCTACTGATAGTTCCAGGAATATATGAAGAATACAAATTTGTGACTATTTTATTAACTTTTGGAAAGATGGCAACAGCATCAACTGATGTTCTTGTGGATTCAATGTTGGCATCAGAAGCAAAAAAAGATAAAATAAGCGGAAGTGAAAATCTTTAGTTCATAGCAGATACATTCTAAGGAATAGGTGGAGTGCTAGGGGCTATTCTCGGTGCTATTTTTACTTAATATACCCATCCAAAATACGGATTCCTAATTTATTCATGCCTTGGACTATCTATTTTCATTGCATCTATAAACCTGAAAGAGAAATGACCCTCAAATTTTAGTGAAGAGTAAACAACTCTAACCACCTCTTGTAAGTAACTTCTTGAAGCAGTAAAAAACAAGAAAATATAGAAAGTTATTCTTTTCGAGGTGATTTCAGGAGCAATAATTCCAAGATTCTCTCAGTACAAATACTTTTTCATGCTTGATTATTAAGGAATGAGTTAATTCAATTTTGGACTCTTAAGCATACTATGCTCATTTATACTCATTTTACTTGCTCTTTTCTTCAGTAAAATGGTGCAGAAGTATTCTTATCGCTAAGCATTTGCAATAGGAATACTCATGACTTCATTTACAACTGCTTGTGATATAATCTATGTCCTTAGAATAAATAGAATGTTTTACATCAATGATTACATCATGCTAATATTTACAAATCTTTAAGAGGATTTAATGGAAACTAGATTTTTGTTTTATTGCAGTGGAGTTGTGCATAATCGACTCACTCCATCTAAAGTAGAAGCAACAATCTAAGCACTTTTCGCTGGTTTCAGCAACTTAGGATTTGGGGTATTAGCTCAGTTTTTTGGAAACATATTGGCTGAAATTATTGGAGTTTAAAATTAGAACATTTAGGATATTTACACACTGCTAATAATCAAATTTATATTTTCCTTCGTACCTTTAGCTTTCTTGAGATTTATTCCTAACAAAGAGGAAATTGAAATAGATGTTGATTTATAAAGATTGAATAATCAAGAAAACAGTTAATTGCAACTCTAAATTTGACAAATTAAAAATATTAAATAAGCTTAAATATGCTATTATCTTTGTAACTTACTCATGTAATAAATTATCTTACGGGGTTTTGGGGTTTTGGGGTTTTGGGG